GAGGCTTAGGGTAGTGTTAGGGATTGAATTGTGTCTCCCAAAATATGTGTTGAATTCTTGAATCCTTGTACCTGTGAGTGTGATTCTGTTTGGAAATAGGGTTTTTCTTGTGTTGTGTTAATGAGGTATATCAGAGTAGGGTGGATCCTAAACCTAATCACTTCTGAGTTATAAAACAAGCAGAACAGACACAGAGACACACAGTAGGTGAAGACAGATGTCGTGTGAAAATCGTCTACAAGCCAAGGAACACCAAAGAATGCCAAGGAACCAAGAAATACCCAAGATTACCAACAAGGAAGGAATGGACACGACCGAGACCCTGATTTGAACTTTTAACTTCCAGAAGTGTGAGAAAGTAAATGTATGTTCTTTAAAGCCACCCACTTGTGATGTCTGTGTTATAGCAACCCTAGGAGACTAAGGCAGGTTGCCAAAGCCAACGCAGGTCGCCTCTGTTTTTACCACATTTGTTGTGTTGAGCTGAGATGAAGTTTGGAAGGTTGAAAAGACACAAGTGTGTCCTGTGCATTTCCACCTCAATACCTCTGCCCACATGAGTCCCTTTCTCTGGACTATCTTCACTGAAATTGTATCCAGAAACCTTCAAAGCTCAGCTCAAGTGCCACCACCTCCATGGTCCATGTTCTGTCTCCTCTGTTTCTTCAAGGCTCCCACAATTCCTTGTACCTCTGCTCTAATAGTTAAAACATTTGGGCTTACATCCTGGTCCATGGCGGAATAATATTTTGAGACTATTAGTTAATTTTTCTCCTTTCTGTGTTTTTTCCTCTTTCCTCCCCCGTTCAGGCATACATGTGGCTCTGTACTCCATTCAGGAAAGGTGGAAAATAGGGCAGAAAATAGAAGGAGCCTGTTTTCCAAAAGCTGAAGTCTAAAAAGAGCTTTGAGGGTTTTACAGAAAAGGTAAAAGGAAGAGGGTTTGTTGGTGTAGACCAAATCTCTTGGGAGGCTGGGTGGGAGGCTGCCTTCTACCCTACCTATCCTAGACTGGAGAGAAATATCCAAGATAGCAAAAGGGAAGACAGAAAGTCTGTGTATCCTCCAGCTTCAGGGACTGGTTCTGGTTTTCTAGGAGACCCTCCAGGGAGGCAGGGAGACCTCAGTGTAGCACTCTGTAAATTCTGAAAATGTGGTACAACCCTGGGCCCCAAGAATAACTGAAGAAAAGATTTTTCCAGACCAGTGAAAAGGGACTGGAATCAGAGGTCAAGTTCAATTTTAAACGATAAAAGGAAGATCTGTCTCATATGTCTGAGTTTGTGAACTGAGATTCATACCTGCCATATGCATCTTAATTCCTACAGGAGATGGTAAGCTTTGGGAGGGAAGATGCTAAGCTTCCTTATATTTGCAAAGTGACCAACTCTGTGACCTAGACATAGTGGGTATCAGTTGAATGGTCTACTGTAATTCTATACATTAAACAATGCAATGCTTCCAGAACTTTCTCGGTAAGACCAGAGTGCAATATTTGGTCAGGCCATCCACCAGCAAGCAGCATCAATTTCTTCTTCAAGTGGGCCGTCCACTTCCACCCTCAACTTCTCCTTTCCTCCGAAGCAAACACCACAAAAACCCTCAAAGTCCTCAGAGAAGGAAAGAGCCGGAGCAAAGGTGTGTGCAGTAGCAGCGTTCACCTGCTAACTCACTATGGAATAAATAAACCTGAGTTTGGTTTTATCTTCAGGTTTCAATTGACCAGCATGTAATTTCTAATATCCCACTCAAAGGGAAATGAGAACGTCTGTATCATCAAAGACATCAACACTTACCCGGTCATCGAAGGTCTTGACTGTGACTTTGTCATTCTCCCTGTTCTGGATCATACCTTTCACATACATTTCCTTATCATCCACTGCAA